GATATCGAAGAGTCCAGAAGCCAGAAGTTATAAGTCTCAAACCCTAGAACGATTTTTAAATGAGTTGCACAATAGATACCAATCCAACGGTCGTGGAGGCAACACATGGCAACATCACAGTCGTTCAATTAAAAGGTAAGTGAAACACAACTTTAAGGCAACAAACAAACACGATTTTAACCAAACGGAGAAACGAGCTGGGCCTTCAAAATCCAGCTGGGCCAACATCTCAGCCCAATGGTCTTTTAGCATCATTGTGCCATATTTCCCTTCATTGTAGATAATCAGAAATGGTAATATTGCTTTTCCATTTGCATCTTTAGTAAATTTTCCATGAAACTCAAATACGATAAAATGAAATGAAGATTTGTTGTGTCCTAAGGCGCAAGTTCGGAGAAAAAACATCAACAAAAACATAGGGCATGTTGTACAAGATTCAATCATGACCCCTTAGGAACCACAGAAGCTCGAAAATTAAAGAGATGAGAGAGAGAGAGAGAGAGAGAGAGTATAATCTCACATATTATAACCATATGGGGATATTAAATGGATAGAGCCGAGACGCTCGACGACCTACCATGCTAGCCAGTTGGCGCTCGCATATGGGGTGAGCAGATCTGGCTTGTCAATTTATATTTTCATTCATCGATTTCAAGTAGACTCGTATGAGGTTTTCGTAGTACGACTTGTGCACGAGGCTTGACTTGTTTGTGGGGTGAGGCAACAAGCAATACCCCTATGACCACATGAGAAATACATAAATTTGTTGGACTTCTGGCTCGATAGACTTTCTAATAATATATTATTTGGCTTGTAGAGATCTTCGTATCAACCTTGGCACTCTATTTTCTCAACGTGTTTGGCGCGTTGGTTTATAGGTATTAACTCCTTATCCCTAATTTCACTCTGGGTTGTGTGTATTTACGTCTTCTGATTGACGCTTCTCAAGGGGCCTTGTAGACATTTGAATTATTTATTATGAAAGTAATAACATTAAGAGGGTGTTTGGTGGGGATTAGAATTAGATTTTTAGTGGATTGTAATAGAAGTTGCGGTTGAAAAGATAAATCAAATTTTAATCCGATCCATACAGACCCTAAATAAGTGAATTAAACATGAGAAAAGAATAATAAGTAAATCTTACCAAAAAAAAAAAAGTATGCCTTACCTTTGTTGTTCACTAGTAGAAGGAACAACGACATTATTGACCTGATAATCATGTGGTTCCAAGTCTTTGTTGCTTTCTTCCTAATAACATTGTACTCAGAAAATTGAAGTGTCAAACATATACAAATAAAAGGGTGTTTTAAGTTTACTTACATCTGTTTTAATTTCTGCAGGCATGCCATGAACAGATTCAGATGTTTCATCAATGTTCACATCTTGCATCATTGCTACATTTTATTAACAAATAAATGAAACCTTATCAAATGGAAGAAATGTTAATGATATACAATGAGAAGATGGTTCCAACATTCTTATTTTTAGTGTTGCGAGTTATTTCAATTTGTGTCTCGAACAACATATTTATACCACGTGATTTAGGGTTTTGTGATCTTAAAAAGGATAATAAAATGCTATAATATACACAAATTTCTTTGATCCAATACTCATTTTCTAATCTCACTATAATTTTTTTTCCTAAAAAGCTCATTATATTAATTACTCTTTATTTCTAACTTTTTTAGAGTGTATTCAAATTTCAAATATGAAAAGAGTAATGCTATTAATTTTCCTCGTGAGGATTATCTTCATATGATGTGACGTTCTTATCAACAAGTATGTTTTCTATTCATATATTTAATTGATCATATCATTTCACGACACATCACATACCACACCATATATTGAAGGGTGAGATTTTTTTAGTCACCACTTATGAAATGATCTTTTCATAATCAAGTTTCAAGAAACTCGAATACGTGAAAAGGAAACTAAAAAGGCCAAATCTTTCAAGTGAAAGGAAGATAATAGAGAAAAAATAAATAAAATCTTGAAATAAAGGAAGATGAAATGCAAAGATTTGTTTTTGCCTAAGGCCAAGTTTGGAGGAAACTAGTACTTCCCGTTGAGCGTCCATCACTGGAAAATACTCTTCTGCACTAGGACAATGTTCTCGATGTAACAAATTTACACCTAGACTATAACATTAGTTTAAAGATTGTCAAGATCTAAACAAAACATCAACAAAAAGTAAACATGCATAATTTTTTTTAGAAAGCTCTGATTTGGGATCAATAAAATGTGTTGGACATTTAATTCGATAGGCTTTTCATAGTATATTATATGCCATGTGGAGATCTTTATATCAATCTTGACGCTTTATTTTCTCCCCATGTTCGACGCGTTGGTTACTAGGTATTAACTCTTCATCCCTAGTTTCACTCTGGGTTGTGTGAATTTTTAGCCCCAATGGACTATGTCTTCAATGGCATTTAACCCTAAGTACGATTTACAGAATAATTATTGGCAGGGACGGATCCAGGACTAGATTCAAGATCTGACTAAAAAAAAAAAATTCAAGCCGGACTAATTGAAATTTTTTTAAAAAAAAATTACACGTAAAAAAAATTGGTTTTACATTAAAAAAAAATTTACACCTAAAAAACTAAATGGGCCTAGGACTGGACCGGGCTATAGCTCGGCCCATCCCCCTACATCCGCCCATGATTTATTGGTTGCTTTGGAGTTTGGACTTTAAGTGAATAATTAGTATGAGATGTGGAGTAAATGAGACCTTGAATTCTAGGATAAGTAATGAGAGGTAGGTTGTAGTTTAACTATAGTGTAAAACAATAGTAATGTGTTCATATATATGTGATTATACAATATGTATTGTTGTTTCTATATGCATGTATATGTCATCATTGTGCTATGATTGGATTATTTGTGATATGATCTCATATTTTTATAGAAATGCAGTTGGAATATTGTTATATGCCGTATGTGACGTGTAAGTTATATTGATACATACATGTGCACGTGCATACAAGTGAGTGGCGTGAGAGAGATAAATATGCATAACTCATGAATAGGAGATAATGAAAGTAAGAGAGATATTTATTAATACTGAGATTCAGCGACGCTATACGAATGATGTTGGGAGGTCTCTTGGCGGCTTTGGGATTATACATATGTCATATCATGAGTTTTGCTAATTAATGAGATATTGAGATAAGAAAGCGATGGAAAAAGTTATGGACATAAGTGTTAACTATAAGAATAATTCTTCTTGTACATCAGGGGTGACATAATGGTGTCCATAATGGACACATAGCACCCCACCATTAGAGAGTGTGTTTGCCCACCAACACACTCTCCAATGGTGGAATGCCATTATGGACACCATTATGTCACCCTTAATGTACTTGTAGCACTTCCCGAACGATAAACATAAGTTAAGGAACTTTTAATACAATTAAAAATGTAATACAATTGTAAAAATCGCATTGTGAATAACTTAATTATATGTTTATTAGTACAAAATATAAAATCGAATACATTATAACACAAATACAAAGGATTGGGACGTATCGACATTTATAAAGGTCGCGATAAGCATGGCAACTTTTGCAAAATGATTGAGAGTAACTGGATGATTTTACCCTTTAAAACTTGAGTATGTGAGTTGAGCTAAAGAATATGGACTTATTGCATATGGAGACAATAGTTTGGGGACTAGAAGCCAAAAGTACAACCAGAGGAGAAAATCTATAGCAGATGACGTGGAAACCGTAGCTGACGTGGATGGGTGGCCGGAGCATATACACGAACAAAGCGCGCGTACAGCATGAGCAAGAACGTGAAAATAGGCGGGCGAAATATGGTTGCCACGTCAGATTCCATATATATGTTTTACGACAGAAAGCCAATAGAATCGCGAGTATGAATTAAGCAATCATTTTGTTTCTCACACGCTATTCATCACCTTCACCTTCTTTTCTGGTTCTATAAATACCCTTAACAACAGACTCAACGTGCTTAGCACATGTTCTGATCTCCATGGCGTCGTGCTTGCATGGAAATGGATCCTTCTCTCGACTGCAATATGCGGAAGAACAGAGCAGTAGCTTATTGCCTCGGCACAAATTGGCGAATAATAACTCCTTTTTAAATACTAATCAGATTCGCCGACCTAAACGAACCACCATTGCTGCAAATTGCGCCGACAGAGACAGAAAAAATCTATCTTCAAAACCATCTGTGTTTCATAATATTGTCGATTCCGATCGGTTGATGAGCAATAGCTACGTTCGGCCAAATAAAAGGATCCCGGACGAGGAGGCTCAGGTTATTGCTGAAGAACTGGATCGTTGGGTTAGAGATTCTGCCGTTGAGGTAAGAATTAACTTAATTTTTTGTATCCTACTTTTGTCATAAATAGCATTTTCAAGTCTGATGTTGCATTACATTTCTTGGAACCTCAAATTTTAATAGTTATGCTTGTTTTTGTTTGTAGATTGTGAATAACCTCGATGAAGCCCCTTTTCTTGTGCACGTGTACAGTGATAATGGTGATAGATCAACTCAAACGACAGGAATGAAATTGGTTAGAGAAAAGGCCATGGCGGAGGATTGGCCTTTCATCAAGAAAAGATGGGAGGGAGGGAGCCCGACCCCAAATGGTATTATTTTGGTGGAAGAACTCGAAACAAAACCAGAACCAGACAAAGAGATGATCGAAATCACTAATCAATCGACTAAGAAGTGGGGGATACTTATCCAAGGAAAAGGGATAAATTGTACAGCTTGCTACCTTCTCAAGACTAGTCAAGTTCAATCTGTGGCAGGATTTTGCACTCATTTTTGTTTAGTCAGGGTTGATTGTTTTGTTGAACATGCTGATATTCTACTTCAAAAAATGTGGTTGCAAAGTTAAAATTATTTTAACACTCACTGTGTATTTTATTATATATTTTCAAATGTTTATTAATATATATTTTATTCTTCGTATCAATATTTAAATTTTTCCGTGTGGACGTGAAACCAAAGACTCGGACTAGTTATCGATAATTGCCTTGATAAGCTATTGCTTCACCAACTAACTAATCAGACACAAACCCCTCGGACAAATTCCTCCTTAGCCTACGTACTTCACGATCTTCCTTCATCTTGGTAGCTCTCACCTCCACCATATTAGCAATGTATCGTATTCGTGCAAGATGAATTTCGATAAACCAATGCATGAGCTGAGGCTCCCATGTCCCACCCACCGTCTGAATAGATTGTGAAATTCAGAAACTACAATTTTACTGAAAGCAATACTTTCAATAAGAAGAATGAATGATGCGCCAATATAGTTTAAATATCACAATTATACTGGAAAATTCAACCTATTTTACACTGTAATTGTCACAAATACCATGCTCATCTTTCTCAGACCTTTGAATCTTCCCATTTTTCGAGTTTAAGAGCTCATAATTCACACTAATCCAGCGTGCTTTGAGTATAAAATTAGAAGCCCACCGAGATTGAATGAAAGGAGCGGCATATGGTCTATGTAATTCATGTTTTGATCATTCTGATCTCCGTCGATCCTTCTGATTATTATTATACATAGGCAATAGCCAATGAGAACCGTGTTTCCTCCTTCCATAGCATCGCCAGTAAAGCACCAATATTGCAGCTATAATGCAAAGAGGAATAGCCCATCTGTTGCAACAATATCAAGGAAGTTTAAAACTCAACATAACATTTGGTACGTAATATTGGACATGACAAGGGAGTAATATGAACAAGATTTCAATTTTTTGTTCTACTTTGCAACCTTTCATGCTGAAGGAGTACTAACATTTATTCAAAATTTCATTTCTTATTTTCTAAGCCTATTAATAATAAAAGTTGTTAGAAGCATGTTTACCAACTTGTTTAGCATGCAGCATTCGATAGGATTAAACACCAAAACGGACAAGATTTTAACTTCTTTTTCTTCTTAAATATTGTCTGATAAGAGTCCACTTTACTAAAGCAATAAGAGGATAAATATATACGCAAATATTTTCATGGTAGCAGTGTTCGAAGACAGCAGAAAGAAATGAAAATGTCTCATTCCTGAAATCCAAAATGATAGCAGCAACATTCAATTTGCAGACCATATCGAAGAATACAGAGTAAATATGTGCATCTAAGAAGTGAAGGACCATAAATTTTATTTACCTGTCCAAATCAAGGATGGGGCTGTATACGAGGGTTTCCCAAGTCGTTACAATAACATTCCATACTGGGTTGTAATAAAGAGATTCCGCTGACCAAAACATGCGCGTATATGTCTCTAAGAATATAAAGAGTATCCATGCTCCAATCTCTATCAAAATAAACTTTATTATAAACCGGCCCAGTACCACCATGACGAGTGAAAAGGCCACCAACCAATTAAAGAGCCTGTGATTGTATTCTTTGATGAATAGGGATTTTGACTTCCCCAACATCTGCATTAACAAGATACAAATTTAAAAGAAAATATTCAGAAGAGGTAACATGAAATCTAGGAAGACAAATGAAGACAAAAATAAAAATAAATAATAAATAAATAAATCAATGGAGGGTCTCTCTTCTCCCATCCGCTTGGAAATTATGAGGCTCCAAAATTTGAATCTTCAATGAAGAGAATCATTCTCAAATTTGTCACATAAGACAAATGAAATGATCTATTAATCATAAGCAACCTAAGCTTTCATGTGTACTCCAAAAATGTACTTCCAGTTTATGCATAAAGGATTTCTCCTGTTATTTATTTATTTTTTTCTCCTAATTTTCCTAGTCCAGTCTCTTGCTTCTGCTGCCCCTCGTCTTCAGTCATGTGCAGTTGGAGTTAATTTTGATCATCTTCAAATACATTTAAACTACATATCTTCTGTATCCATCTTAACTCAACATGGATTCACATGAAGCTCCTTGAAATTCCTTAATCACGGAGAAAATAATAAAATCAGCACAAGACATAAATGAAGAGATGAAAAATATTTCTAACCTTAATCATTCTATGCTCATAGCTAGTTTTAGAAGGTCCAATACATTCCCTTTCAAAGCTTTGGTTGCAATGCAGAAACCCAGCATTAAATTTAGCCATAGATGGAAGTCTAAGGACTTGAAGCTGGTCCATTTTGTCCTCGCATTTTGTATATAGAGCCTCACACAGTTTTGAAGATTGATATTCATTTGCCAATATGTAATTCTTGTATATCTGCACAGAAATATCAATAAGCGCGAAATCTAAGAATTAATATTGCCAGATTATTATATGTTCACTTTCAAAACCTTCTCTATTTCTTCAACCAATTTCTCAGCAGATTTCTTGGCGTGGTGACGACCAAAGTGTTGCTCATCAAAAACTTTCATGGCCGCTTCTTTGGAAGTTTCATGAGCTTTCTGTAGAGACTCCTCAGATGTTGGAAAACCAAGCTTACCCATACGATCACCGTACAGTTTCAGACAGCGATCGAGAATTCCCTTATTAAAGACCTCCACAAGGGAGCCTGTTGATGGAATCTCCCCTTTGTTTAGGGCTTCAAGAATCTGGAATGTAAGTTTATAAAGTAATATAAAGAATTATACTTCAAAATGAATAGACATGTTGAATGTCGAAAGGATTTGATATAAAGTGAAACCAATATGGGTTAGAAAAAGAACCTGCTCCAGAAAAGATACAAACTCCTTCCCAGTGAGAGGTTTACCCTGGACAATCTTTGGACGGATGATGGAAGCAACAATTTCTTTCAATCTCTCCCTCCTCTGTACGTAAATTGGATCGAGCTCATCATCCTTCATGTCACAAAGCTTTGTGCGTTGTAGATGAGGCTGCAAAACAGTTCAGATTGCGCTATCAATTTACAGAGAATAAATATATATCTACACACACACATGTTTAATAATGTCAAAAAAAGCTTAATATAAAGCAAATGCTGAAAGGTATTGTACATGCCATTATATGTGTGCGCGCATGGGTGAAGAATAATGCAAAGATAATTCTTATTCATAATTCATTATCTAAACATTTCACACAAAAGAATAATAAAGTTATTTTCTAAAATACAGCAGAAACTCTCATCAGATCTTCATCAGTCAGTGTAACATTAAGACATCTTCCACCTGTCTAAACCGTATCGAGCAAGCTATTGAATACAGAAGAGGCAAGCACAGAAATCCAAGTATAATTTCTTAATTTTTTTTTAATAATTAATTAGAATCATATAAGCACTTTGATTAGGTTTTCAGCAGTCCGGGGAGCAAAAAGATGGTCTCTTGTCATGCTGACATCAAGAATGATTGAATTCCATGGGAATCAAGAACTTGACATACATATTGTGTCGATGATGTTCATTTTGAATTGCCCAAAGATCATTCTGCCATACTCAATACAATTATTTGCAGATCACTGAGATGTAGAAATTTCAAGTTGTGCAGATCCATTCAAGGAATTTTAGTAGTTTCTACTTAGGAGTTTTTGTTATGCTAAATCTAACATATAATTAGCTTAGGGAACTTGCAAAATTTGATTAAAACTTCACTTCTCAGAGCTTATTTCATTAATCGACCACCATTTCATTGCAGTACAGCCCCTAACCCAAGGATAAGAGGGTTCCTGCATCACTATTTATCTAAAAATATCAAAGAAACAAGTAATCAGTTTATTTTACTAGATATTTTGTATTCCACTTAAAATGTCCTAAAGACAAGGCATCATATAAGAGAATATGCAATGAGTGCTACAGAAACATATCTAACTTGATAAATAACAGAAAAACAAACACATACCTGTGGCAAGCTAAAGGCAGTGCTATTCGTTCCCATGATTGCTAAAGAATCACGGATCTGGTTGACCTGAAAACAAAAACCAGATAATATCATCTTGTATCATAATATTACCGGAACAACTACAAAAACTTGAAATGGAAAAATACCTGATCAATATTCTTGTTCCCTGCTCACAATAAGCACCAAAAGAAATTTTATTACACCCTTCTAAATGGATAACTTCCCAAGTGAATATATGCAGGCAGAGGAAACTGACCGTCAACATTTGGGACGTGTCGGAGAGCCTCATCTATCATTTCTTGCACAGATTTTCCTTCTGCACATGCCAAAAATAAATGAAATGAGCGAAAAGTTCAAGAAATAGCAAAATGGATCATTTGAGCAAAAATAAAAACACAGAGAGAGAGAGAATTTTACAAGACATTTCCATTTCAAAACACGATGAGAAAATTATTCATGGTGATTCGTGCACACTAGAAAGAACTCAGCTTCTGGCAGCAAAAATTATGTGCATGCCCAAAAAATATAATAAAATAACGTGCAACTTTATGCCCATATGTCATTCTTAAGCAGCGTAGCATGACTTACGTAGGAAATCACGCTGGATTAGCCAGAGGAGCTTAGCAGGTTCAAAAGCAACATCTTGCCCCTGCAGAAAACATCGATGGATAGAAAAGATGATGCCGGAGAATCTCATATCTTCATTTTCTTTTAGTACGTTACGATAAGATGTAGATAAAACATTAAAATGTTGCAATGATTACCTTCACTCTGTTAAGGATGTACATGCAAGAAAAACAAACAAGTATCAGTGGAAAAATTCGGAGACTGATGATTAAAGTAAATGAAATTAGTCCAATTCTAAGCCCCTTTTTGAGCCCCATTCTCAAAAAACTCATTTTTAACAGCACATTCTTTTAATAAAATAATTTTACACATAAACCCATAACTTTTCCCTACTTTTTAACCATATATTCTTCAACCAAAAAAAAAAAAATTCACTATTGCAAAATCTATTTCCCAAAAAATGGGGCTCAAACATAGCCTAAAGCACTTGTAACACTGTTAGCCAACATGTTATTAAGTACCTGCCGTAAAATTCTTCAGCAAGCTCAACTGCAAATG